TAGCATTTTTGTATGCTTGTTATTTTTCTGTCGTATTATTGACATTTCTGTTTTTCATATGCTTGATTATTCTTGTATGCATGTTGCATATCTTGTATGTTTGTATGTGTGCTCGGTGAATGCTTCTCGGGTAAGGTGTAAATCCATTTCGTAGGTATCTTTTTATTTGATGCAAGCTCATTTGTAATCGGTGTCTGCTGGTTGCATGGTACCCCGGGTCCCTGGGTAGGCGTAATTCCTTTACACATAGATAGCATCAGTGTTAGCCTAATCACAATTAAATGACACAATACAAAATAAATTAGAGTAACCGATAAAAATTACTTACATTCGTACAATCATAATAACAAAAATCTCTAGCTTCTATAATGTCAACAACACAAATATTTTGAGTCATGTTAATCTTTCCATGACATTTGATGTGAAAGTTTATCCATTAAAGTAATTTTTTTTTTATTTTCTTATGTATTTCAATAAAACCTCTTCTAAGCACATTAATTTTTTCAAAGATTAACAGATTCTTATGACTCATAACCTATATAAAAATTTCAATTAGTATGTAATGAAAAGATGATCTAATGATCAATTGAATTAAACATAGTTAATTGTGTATTAATTATCTCATAATTTTTTTAATAAATACTATTGATACAGCATCAATAAATTTTCATCATCCTGCACGAATCTCGAAGCATGACACGGATTCCGAAATGATATTTTGAACAAGAAACATTCAAATCTTGATAACTAAAGCTTTGATTTCAGTAAAATTATAGTCAAACTGACCAGCTCGATGGACAGACATAATAATATGAAAACTAGCTCAATCCAAGTCAAATCAAGCCCAGATCAAGTCATTAAACCACAGTTAGAAGATTTATAAATATATTTGGAAAGTCAAACGGTTGTCAAATATGACAAGTTTATACTCAATTTGAGCGGCTCGACAAGACGAATCCAACAAGCTCAGGATCACTCAATTCTGACATCATTAAGGCACTCAAATGTCCATTAAACGCCACATAATCGAGGGAAGCTATCCGGACCGACCGATTAAAATGGTTCATATTCATGCATTAATTGCACTCAGAACACTATTAATAGAGTCTCATCCCTCGCATAAAGGGAAAGGAAGTCTAGAGAGAGTCTGATGTCTTGAGGAGAAGCTGCAGCTCAGCATCACCACCAACCATCATCGACCATCGCCGATCGTCTTCGACCACCACCGACCGTTGTCGACCACCGCCGACCGTCGTCAACCTCCACCTACCGCCATCAATCACCACAAACCAAACGCCGTCAGTCGATGTTATACCTTGAAAAATATAGTTACCCATTCTCGTATATGGGACAATGAATTTCTGTAATAGACAATGAATTTCTGTAATGATCAATCAATAGTGGATTTTCACAACTGGGCCACCTGTGATTTTTCCCTCACGGGTTTTCCACGTAAAAACTGCTGAAGTCCACCATTTTTTTCTATTTCATCTGTGTGTGCTGAACTTTTGTATAACGCTAAAACGATAATTTATTACTCTACCACCGCAAATTTTTTAGCACGCATCAACTATATATATTAAGTAATAATAAGAACATATCAAACATAGTTACTGTATCTTCTCAAAAACTTTGCCAGAAGCTTCTAACCAAATTTAGGGGCAGTAGATTTTTTTTATAAATTTTTTAAATATAATTGATTTATATTTTTTTAGTTTTTTTTTT